ACAATTTTCAGAACTTATGACACGAAGTTTTCCTAATGATAGAACCAGAGCACACTGTTCTCTTTATTTATGCAGCTCCATTTCATTCTTTGCTCTTAATGTTATTTAGTCCAGTCTCATCCTCTACCTCCAAAAGTAGGCAATGACTAATGCTCCTGAGGAAGGAAGGATGAGAGAACCTTGGGCAGCCGYGGCTGGTGGACAGTATGGTTTTTGCCTTTCATACTATTCATTACTTTCTCCTTTCCATTTTAAGTTGCCATTCTTGGAAGAATGTTTCTTGTGCTGCCATCTGCCATTTCAGAGAAGTTTGGTGAAAAATTGGAGAGAGTTCAGAGTAAATATACATGAATGAGTCAAAATATCAATTAAACTCACTGGAAAAAAGAGATTTTGAAACTTAAGTGTTTTGATCTAATGTAACCAATGACCTTGCTGTGTTTTGAAAGCAACTGCATAAGCAAAAGGCAATTGTGTAATGCACTGTGTTGGGCGTRCAGGAGTAGCAATGGCTGGCTTGGCCATCGAAAGGTTGATAAACAGCTATTTTCTCCATCGGAGGCTTTTTATTTTATTTTTTGGGGGGAGTGGGTTGGGGACAAACTGAAGTGAGTTAGATTTGGTCTYGTGGTTTTTTTACTCTATCTGCTGTTGCCTTATAAGAAAGAACTTGCTGTGTTTTTGCCTCAGCCTTAGCTAAGGCAGCTCCACCTGATGAGCGAGGCTAGTGGATGTGCCTCAGCCCGTTATTCCAGCAGTGTCCAGGCTCCAGGAGCTTTTTTTTTTTTTTTTTTTTTTTTTTCCCTAATCATCCATTCATCTTGAGGCTCCCTTCACTATATTTTCTGTGTTGCTCTTAGTCTGTGGTATCCACTATGGCATTTTTCTCTTATTCTGAATTCCTTCGTGATTTTAGTCCTCTTCCAGCTACTGACTTCTGCAATCTTCTACATCTAGTTAAAAACACTGTTCAGTGTAGAAATGGCAGACATAACCTTTTTGGAAAGAAACCACCTGTAAGATAAGAATGAAATGTGCATTTATTGATCACATTTCCTGACTATCTGCTGGAGAGTCTTGATCTGAGCGCAGGAGCCAGGACAATGTAGGATGCAGTAGCCTGTTTAGAATCATAGAATCATAGAATGCCGAAGGTTGGAAGGGACCTCAGAGGTCATCGAGTCCAACCCCCCTGCTCACGCAGGGTCACCTAGAGCACGTGGCACAGGGCTGCATCCAAGCGGGTTTTAAAGATCTCCAAAGAAGGAGCAGGTTTAGAGCAAGAGGGTGGGTTATCAGCACAGGATAACTTGTGCTTTTTTCCCCATCAGAAAGTCTTCCACTGTTTTGCTTCAGATAAACTACAGACTTGAAGAGGGAAAGTGTGATTTTTTTTTTTTAGATTTATCTTTATTTTTATTTTTTTCCCTCTCCCTCGCTCATCAGGGAACGTTGAGCAAACACTGATGTCTTTATCTAAATTAGCAGAGTGCTCTATTATGGAGAATAGGCAGAAGTTGGATGCTGTGACTCATCTGCRTGCCACTGTCCCTTAAGTTGCCTTGTTCATGGCCTTTTACCCTAGGCACGCTGTCACGTGCACCGAAAACATGAAAAGTGCTGGAAAAAATCAAAACAAAACCAGAAGTTTAGCTTCATCTGTTAAAAAGAGAATGGATCCTTTTCTTTTTTTATGGTATTGCAGAGTAGCTGGGCTAAATTTAATTGAGTCTGGGGAACTGGGGCTGGAACAGGCAAGGAAAAGGGAACTTGTTAGAAACCTTTTCAGAGCACACATAGCAAAAACAAGTGCCAGCAAATAAACATCAGAAAATGAGAGGAGAAGAAAGAGGAAGAGAAAAGGCTTACAGGAAGACAAATAGAAAACACCACGAAAACAAATGCTTTAGAGAGTAGTTGGTATGGATTTGCAAGCCAGCTTGCAGTCAGCAACTGAGATGCACCTGTGTGGTCTTCACTCTCAAGCTGCCCCAAATGCACTCTAATCGTGTTCACTGAGATGTTGGATCATCTTTGGCCACCCCAGCATTGTGCAACTTGCCTGCTGAATGTCCTGCTGTTTGTCTCGGCCCACCCATGCCCTGCACCTGGCAGACCATAAGAGCTCAGTGGACCAAGGCATGTTAGCAACTGCATGAGAGATGGTTAAGGAACACATTGATGGAAAGACAAAACATGATGGAAATCCTGTAGGTCGAGGCTGTTTGCTTGCAGTCAGTATGGAGGTCTTGGCCATGGTCCTAGGGCTCATGTGCTATGATGCAATCTTTCATATGAGATGTCAAACAAGGGGTTGAAAACCTGTCTGAATAAAACTCCAGGATGCTTTTAGGCATAAGGAAAACAGTTGTCTTTGGGTGCCATAAGAAATTAGAGTGAAGAGTTGTCCTGTATAGCTCTTAAAGCAGAGTACACTCTATGATTTATAATCTTAAGATGTAAGTTGTTGCCCCAGTTTTATTGCCGTGTTTTACATTTTGAGGGCCTTTTTGCTCTAGTAGCCATCATTGTCTTGCTCTGTGAGTGCTGGTGTTCTCAGGAGAACCTGAACTGGTGGGGGTGTGATTCGTGTGCCACCTCCGCTGCTGTCACAGCTGGTTGGCTCTATGGCCCTGTGGGGAGGACCTGCCTTTCACTTCTTCCTTGCATAATGATGCTCCTCACTGTTAATGTGAGGTTGGTTGGCAGCTACATGTATGAGGAAAAGTCACCGTGTTCTTTATAACTCRGACTCAGCAGAGCTGTTGTGAGGAGGAACTGCAGATGATGATGGTTGCCCTTCTCCACTTTGCTCCTGCCGTGCTCCCAGTTGCCACATTTCAAGCCATTTGATGTAGGCTGTGCCACACAATGGACCCTTCCTGCAGCAGTAGGGATCGCAAACCAGCCATACTCACACCAAGAGGGTCGTGCTGTGCTAGGATGAGACACCTGCTTTGGGTCTAATGCTCGGCACTTGCATTGCAGTGAGCAATGGGGGTGGAAGATGACCTTAAACTTTCTAGCTCCTCGTCTTGCAGACTTTAAGTAGAAGCAGGAAACTTGTTACTCAAAGTGCACTTATTAGGCTGAAACAGGTACAAATCTACATACACGAGCTTTTAACAAGCACTGCTGTTGAATGAAGATACTTGCTTGGCCCACAGTCACTCAGCTTTATGGTCTAATAGCAAATTGCTAGGACAGATTATCCTTACAGGCTCTCATTGGGCTGCTTTTCCAGGTTTATGTCTAAGATTACCCCTGTGTGGTAAAGGGCTTTGTTGTTTTTTCTCTCCTTGTAGTTTGTGGGATTCACATGCTTTGCTGGCCAGGAKGAGTTTGGAAAACACCTGAGCCTTAGCTTCTGCAGCTCAGTCTTGACACTTCTAGTGATAACGGAGCACAGATGAGAGAAAGGGGAAATTAAACATTATGTTCCACTTTTTTGTCTGAGTATAATTAAATGCACTGTCAGATATATTTTAGTCCTACCTAAATGATCCATGTAATGCTGGAGTCTGGCTGCAGAACATAGTGTTATTTATTTGTCTCACAAGACAAAYGGAAATGTTAACTCTGAAGCACCAGGTGTAAGTCCAGTAAGGCATGGGGTGTTGATCCTTCAGCTGCATTCCTGAGTGGAATCGAGGGGAGGATAGTTGTATCACCTCTCTGCTGGTGGTAGGTGAAAGAGGTGACAAGATCACCCGCACGTTCACTTTCAGGCGCTCTCATGTCTCAGCTCTGGCAGAACGCACTTGCTGCTGCAGCTGGAGGCCTCCTCTTTGCAAGTCCAGCAGTGACGGCTGTGTTGTCCTCTTCACACCTGGAAATGCCTTTACGTGACAGCAGTTAGCTAATGTCTTCCCTGGCCCTTTGCRGTCACTGCACTGGTCCTTCTGCACACTTTTTGATCAAAACAAGTCTTTCCAGATTGCATCGCAGCTGCCTGTTGGTTTCAATGTTCTTGAGGAGTCCTAACATCAGTTCACAGCGTGGCAGGGCACTGGGGGGCTGCTCAGTTCATGGTGTCTTGTGTTTTTTGTGGGACCCCGTGTCACAGACATGCGGGATCCTCTTTTCCTCACAGTAACTCAAACCCTGCTTAGAGGAATAGCTCCTGAAGGTGCCGTAGGGCTGCCACTGCTGCCTTAGGACTGTGACTTGTGTGTGAGGCAAAGTGTTTRTTTATTGCAATTCAGGCCATTACGAACAGGTATTTTATGGACAACATTTTCATCTGCATTTTCATCTAAGTCCAGTTCTCAAAAGTGATGTAGGCTTTTAAAAAGGCCAAAGCCAAGATTGTCATAAATAAGTAATGATTTGGGCTGCTTCTGTTTTCTGTTACACAAGTTGAGACATCTAAAAGGAGCCTGGTTGTCAGTGGTTGTGGGTTCCTGGCATGTTTTCAAAACTGGCGTGCTTTTAAAATACCTGAAGCTGGGCATTCAAAAGTTGAGACATCAGGGATGATTAGCCACTTTTGAAAACCTTTTTCTTAAAAGTTTAAATGGAAGTCAATGGGACATGGGGTGGTAAATGACATGGGAAAGAGCACTGAAGTCATGTAAGGTGCATTTTTTGGAAGTGTTTCTGCCTGTATATGAGAGAACTTTTCCCCATGGCACCTCACAATTTTATATTAATGTACTCACATAAGCCCCATAGGGCAAAGTGAATATATCACCATTATTCTGATAGATTGTGGAACTGATAGGCTTCTCCGAGGTAAACTCTGAATTGAARAGTAAAATAACACTACTTTGTGCTGATATCACTGGCAAGCTCATCAGTACCTTACTGGGGAAACAAGGGTGAGTTTGTATTTTAAGCCCTATGCAGAAATAGCCRTATGCTTAAAGATAAACATGAAAAGTTTAACATAGTAGAGAATGTAATTTTAGAAATCAGCAAAGTGGTAGGTTCTGCCACTCTTATTTTCTCAGTCTAAATCCCTAATATATGTGTGCGCTTCTTGTTGTCTGTCTCCTCAGACCTGAACCATGTCTCACCCGTCCTGGTTGCCACCGAAGAGTACCAATGACCCTGTTGGCCACGTTCCTGCAAGGATGGAGACCACACATGCCTTTGGGACCCCCAGCATCTCGGTGTCCACCCAGCAGACACCAAAGAAATTTGCGCCTGTCGTTGCTCCCAAGCCAAAGTACAACCCGTACAAGCAACCAGGAGGTGATGGTAAGGATGTATTTTCTTCTTTAGGAAAGAACCACACCTGTAAAATTAAGGGGAGTTAATCACATTTCTGGCTTGTTCTTRTTTGGGTTTGTGGATGCCTTTTCAGATCATTCAAATGAAGACAAATCTGAAGGTATCTTTTACCCTTGCTCTGGATGACTACCCTCATGTTAGGTGCAGGAGTATTATAAACGATGAATAGGGAACAAATCTGACTTGATTTAATTAAAAGCAACTGTTCTATCTCTAAGACTGATACTTTTCAAGGAGTTTTGTTTGTTTGGTGTGTATTAAGCCAGGGAGGRAGTTGGGAATTCAGCAGCCTTTTCAGTATTAATGCTTTCTTTGTAGCCCAGTTTTTCTCAAAAGTAGGATGACTGAGGGGGTATAGGTGGTTTTGGAATGACAAGGCATGGGTTAAGCAGAATGGCTTCATCYCTGGTCTGTCAGCTTGATTCAGCCTTTTGTTCTTTCTCCTCTTTTGTGACAGGCTGTCGAATATGAAGTAATTTAATGATGTAATATGTGGATATTTATGCGACCGTCACAATAGCCTTTGGAGCTGTTATCTTAGCAAAACAATAGCCTCCCCATGCCCACGCTCCGGCCATGCTCTGCCTCCCGCTTGGAAAGTCCTCCCGTCGTGGTGCAGGGAGAGGCGCTGGAGTTGGGTTCCTGAGCTGCGGGCAGCCGGAGGGAGGGATTTCCCACCAGCAGGAACCTGCTGCCGGGAATGTCTGGGCTCACCRTGGGAAGGCTGCCAAAGGAGCACCCTGGTAACCCTTAAGTGATGGGAGAGAGTGCATCTCCAGCAGGGGAACAGGGTGTCTTTAGGAAAGAGTGGGAACTGTCTTTGCATAGTAATGACCTGTCTATTGCGAGTATTTTTCTTGATCTTTCTTGGTCAGAACCGAGTGGAAAGCTTTTTGCTCTTCTTGCATCCCTGCCCCCTTAAAAAAATCATCTGTATTCAAGATAATGGTAAAACAATTATTTTTCTTGTGACTTTCAATTTCAGATGTTCTGCTGTCTTCTATCTCCACTTATTTTGTGCTGGGAGCAATAAGATAAATGATATCTTTTATATTTTTTTCATGCCTTTTTCAACTCCTTGCTTGTTTTCAGGAAAACTTACAGAATAATGAAAAGACAAAGAAAAACAAAGTAGCTTATTAAAGCTCTCTCTTAAGCAATTTCTTAAAGTTAAGGACATTTTATAAAAAATGTTGGAAAATCCAGACTAGTATTTCATTTTTTTTCTCCTCTGCCACTCYAACTTCAGAGAATTTGGAACAAAAAAAGAAAATGTGTTGGAGGGGAAAAGCTCAGTCATATGCACCTGTTCTGTTGCCTTCAGTAACAAGACATTAGCAAGCAAGAGGAAGAGAAAGCCATTTGGAATTAAAAGTAAAAATAATCTATTTCTGAAGTGCAATAAAAATGTCATTTTTCAAACTGGAAATACTTATTTTTTAAAAAATTCTCTGAAAATTTAAGGTAATAACTGAAGATGACATCCTTTACTTAGGAAAACAGTTGTTGATCAGTGTTGATCAGCTGCTGGTTTTTATCAAAAATGTCAGAGTGCTGTAATTTTTTTGTGTTCTAATGATTGTAGATTTGACTATACGTGACTCAGGAACATTATCATCTTGTGTTAAATTCCTTGTTTCTTGGCAATTTGGGAGGGAGGAATGCTATAAGAGCAGAGTAACACCCGAGCGTTGCAGTCTGTGAAAGGGGAGACCAAGCTCCACCAGTATTTCTTACGGAGCACCAAGGATAAGATAACTCCCGGGAGGCATTTACCCTTTTTCTTCTGTGCCAGTCCCTGGCCTTGTCTGATTTTGGGCTTTTCGTGATCACATCGTCATTTGACAAGCCTTGAAGAGCCAAATGATAGCAAAGATCTCGTCGGGGACCGGCTTAGTGGTTTGACAGCAGTAACTCCAGCTTAAATTAATCCACTTTCAAAAGGTGACACACTCCTGGTTGGTGTCAGCAGCCAGTCCAAAGCCGTTAGCCCCATCGTATATAAATCTAGGAACATTAGGCTTCTGGGATCTGTCAGGTGAGGAGGGACAGCAGAGAATATTTAGCCCAACATGCCTCATTCACTTTTTATGGCTCTGTCGTCTCCTCCAGGCTCCCTAATTGCTTCTTCRATGACCTCAGTTGTTTTTGCAGCAATGATTCAGCCTGGGAGGCAGCTCTGTGCCCCACTGGCTACCTCAGCAAAGCAGCCCTGCTCATCATTTCACTTCAATTAGTTCTTCCCTTGCCAGGGGTCTTTCCCATCCGGCTCGCTATGAGCCGGYGGGGACAGGAGCTGCAGCTGCCCACTGGTCTCTGATGGGTTTTCAGCCTCCAGCTGCCTGCAGCCCCTGTGGAGGAGGCCAATGCTCGAGCCTAACGTGCTGCATGAAGTTGTCCTGCTCAGGAGGAAGGAGAGCAAAGGCAATATGGGAGGGAAGGGCAGTCCCATGGCCTCAACGGCACATAGAGTGTCCACCTACCTCGTGGTCTGGTGTGTCATTACCGCCTAATTGTGTCACCCAACCAGTTTCCCACTCCAAAGAGGCGGCAAGGGCAGGATCAGGGAATGTCTCCTGGAGAGCAGCAAATGCTGTTCCTGGTAGGTTCTTCAGAGTGTTGTTTTTAACGTTGGGGGAATGAAGACTCTGGCCTCATTTTTCTTCAGCGTTACTTTCTAGGCATGTTGCATGCTCAGAGGGTCCTTTCAGTGATCACATTAGTTACTTGGATACATTGAAAAGGCTGGAGAAGGGCAGCCAAGGGACAGGTCTGAATCGGGCCACTGTCTGTGCGGCAAGGAAAGGGCAGTATCTCTCCTCAAAGGCCTCTGCAGCAGACCCTGGTGCTTTTCTGGTGGCATTTCCTTGGTTTCTCCTAGTGCTGCCCTGTGTTTCCTCACCTTGAATTGTAGTTTTCCCCGGCACTTGCTTCAATGTCGCTTTGCAGGCACAAAAATCAGCCAGGAGGTCCTGATTAGAAGATACTCAACAGAATTTAAAATAAGCTGGGAATGGTTAAATGTCTAAAAAGAAAATGAAATAGAAGCAGATAGTGATTTAAAAAGCAGCAGCATTTTAATGTGGCTGGAAGCAGTCAAGATGTGCATGTTTTAGACTAGGTAAGTGAGCAATTTTCTCGGAGTTGCCAGCCCCCTTGCTGTTTGTTACAGTGACTTGCTGCAACTTGTTTCAAACTAGATTTGTCAACCCATCAAAGCAGAGACTGTGTCTTGCTGTCACATGGATCTGTTTGTGGCCCTCTGGGTATGACAATAATCATAATAATAACACGGCTCTGATTAATGTGCTGCATAAGTTCCTGCTGCATAGCTAGCTGGAGAGGCRGGCACAGCTGTGTTTTTATAGGTCCTACAAGCTTTGGACCAGACCTCTGTGTGCTAAAACCGTGGCCTGGACTGGGTTCTCTGTAGGATTTAGTGCTAGCATTCCCCGTTGTGACGTTTTGGAGGGAATTAACGTTACTCACCTGAAATGCTCCCGGTGGCGTGCCCGGGAAGGGCTGGGGTCTCTGGTGGGAATATGCCCCTTCCCATTTCAGCCTATTCCCAGGAAGCGGCGTCTCTGCTGGGGCCTGGAGCAGCGCTCGTGCCGTGGTCTTCCTGAGATAAGCATTAAGGTGGAGAATGGAGAATGTAGATGGTCCTTGGATGAAGCTAAGTGTGTCTGTGGATGGGAATTCTCCATGCTGGGGGAAGAGGAGTCCTAAGGTGGATGAGGCCTTCTCAAGTCCTATGTCCAACCAGGTCTTGTGTTTGGTGCAAAGTGCTTCCTCCTCCTCCTGTTCCTCGCAGGCACTGTGAAGCAACATGATTGGGCTCTGTCCTCACTGATGGAAAAAAGTCTCCAAACACGTACTGTCATCTTGAAAGAAGGCAATATTTAATTTTTGTTTGGTGCAACTCCTGCTGTTTTTTACAGTGTGGTTTTCTCTAGAAGCATGTGGCAAGCCCCAGTGTGTGTGATTGTGTATGTGCTGTTGCTGGTAGGGTTGAGAGATTGCTGGGTTTTAAGGGGGCTGCAGCAGCCAAGAGCTTCCCAAGAAAGGGAGTGAAGAATATTTTTTACCTGAGTTGTCAATTCAAGCGGGCTTTTTCTGCTGAATATCAACATAAGGGTTTGCCAGGAGGGGCAAGATGGACTGTCCTCCTATGTCTCCTTAACAAGTATTGCCTATCCTCCTTTCCCTGCCATTTATTTGTCTTCTCCTTCCCAACTTTCATGCTGAAAGTGGTATTTCAGCTCGGCAGAGCTGGGTGCTTGGGGAGATGCTGCCACATAGTTGTTGCCTTCTAAGCTGAACTCAGAAAGATGAGAAGGATTTATAGCTTGCAGATGAAGCAAATTCCCTTTGCTCCTCTTTTTGGTCCCAGAAAATGGGGCCTCAGCCTCCAGGGCAGGTTAAGGAGAGGGATTTGGCTTGGAGCAAGGTTGGTGTGTGCTGGAGCCCCAGCTTTCTGTGCTGTGGTGGGCCTGGCTCCTCAGTGCTGGCAGCTCTTGCCATGGCTGTGCAGGCAGCCCAYGTTAGGCTCTCGGGGTGCACTGTGTCCCCCATTGGGCTGCTGGGGACTCTGGTGCAGGCTCACGTGCGCTGCAGGGTTGGGGAATTCGGTGACAGGCGCTCCGTGGGAGGTGCTGGGACAGCAGTGCTTACAAGGTCAAAATGAGAGAGTTCAGAAACATGTGAACTCTATCATCAGGCTCAGGTGCTCGGGAAAGCGTGAGTCAGGGCTCTTCAGGTCATGAGATGACTTGAACACAGCAAGAAGGTCAGGCTTTGGTGTCATCTGCCTTTGCTCAGGATCCTTTTGGTTTCAGGCATTTCTTTTCATAACCGCAGAAGTTCTTTCCCTTCCCCTCCAAGCAAAACCCCACRGAGGTGGAGCAGTGCAAATCCAGCAGAAACGCCGTGCTGGTGCAGGTGGAGCACAGCCTCTGAGCTCTGGG